CCCACCCCGGGGGTACGTACGGCGTTATCGGGGTGGAAGATGTAGGATGCGGGCGAGTTGTCCACGATGATGATGCGGCGCAGGTCGCGGCCCAGGCGGCTCAGGTCCTTCACGTAGTTGCCGCGGTGGAAGACGCAGGATTCCCGGAAAAGCCGCGCTCGGAAAGCCCCCCATTTATCCAGCAGGTCGGCCACGGGGTCCGCGTACTGAGGGCAGGGGAAGGGGAGGGTCACCGGGACACGCTGTGCCACCCTGCCCATCCCACGGTGACGATGGCGCCCAGCTCTCCACCGGCGCCACCTCGCCCCGTGCCTCAGTTTCCCTGGGCAGCACCTCGGAGGGAGGCACTGGCAATGCCCCTTAGGGGACAAGGGGCCAGCGCTGCCCATGGGTGGGCAACCATAGGGGGGTTGCGCCACCCCTGAGGTGGCCAATGGCGGCAGGTGACAGCACCCACCTTGGCCAGGCTGGCGGTGAAGAGCACGCACTCGAAGAGCTCGCCCATGCGCTGCAGGAACTCGTCCACGTGTGGCCTCTTGAGCACGTACACCTGTGGGCACGGGGCACAGGGCAGCGCGCCGGGGCACCGGCAACACGGCCACCAGCCCCTGCCCACCCCCCAGGGGGGGACACCCGTGTCCCCAAGCCTCACCAGCGGCTGCCTGCTGGGGAAGGGTGGGCAGAGGGCTCCCTGTGCCATGGGGGTGCCCTGGGGGGGGGGGGGCTAGTTCCCCCCAAAGGCAGTGGAAAGCAGCAACTGCTGACACCCCCCTCCTCCCCCCCAACTTGGGGGGACATGGAGGGGAAAAGGACCTGAGAACCGTTTCAGGGAGAGGGGACGCAGGTTGGGGGGGAAGGGAGGGGAGGGGAGCAGGAAGGACCGGACCTCCCCCCTGACAGGTCCCCAGCACGGCAAGGCAATGGGTCACCCATGGCCCCCCCTCCTCCGCAGGAAGGGGGACACCCAGGTCCCGGGGGGGGGGCAGCCACATCTCCCACCACCAGCAGGCGGGGAGGGCACCCCGCACCCACCGGGGCTGGGGAGGACGATAGAAGAGGGGGGCACACCGCGCTGCTCCCCAAAATAAGGCACCCGGCTGCCACGGCAGTGCCGGGGGGGGTGGGGGGCACCACTAGCTGTTAGTCCGCTGCTTCTTGAGCACTGCGTAGACGTCCTCCACCTTGCTGAGCCTCTCGAAGAAGGGCAGCAGGTCCAGCAGCTCCGTGTCCGCCATGTTATCGAACCAGGCTGGGCAGCACCTCGGAGGGAGGCACTGGCAATGCCCCTTAGGGGACAAGGGGCCAGCGCTGCCCATGGGTGGGCAACCATAGGGGGGTTGCGCCACCCCTGAGGTGGCCAATGGCGGCAGGTGACAGCACCCACCTTGGCCAGGCTGGCGGTGAAGAGCACGCACTCGAAGAGCTCGCCCATGCGCTGCAGGAACTCGTCCACGTGTGGCCTCTTGAGCACGTACACCTGTGGGCACGGGGCACAGGGCAGCGCGCCGGGGCACCGGCAACACGGCCACCAGCCCCTGCCCACCCCCCAGGGGGGGACACCCGTGTCCCCAAGCCTCACCAGCGGCTGCCTGCTGGGGAAGGGTGGGCAGAGGGCTCCCTGTGCCATGGGGGTGCCCTGGGGAATGCCACCACGCTGGGTGGGCTGGGGGACACCACCATGGCCCCGCTGGCACATCCGGAGCGAAGCATCCGGCCGGCTCCAGAGCCAAGTAACCGAGAACAGGCTGACTGCCCAGACCACAGCCTATCCTGGATTACTTGAACCCGGGACCGGCCACTACAGGAGGGCACCGTGCCAGGATCACCCCCCTCCCCAACCCTGCCTCGCTTCCATCACCTCCCCATCCCCTGGGAAGAGGGTCACCCACTTCTGCCCCCCCAAGGTGCCAGCCCTGTCACCCTGATGCTCCTCGACTGCCCCTCGGTGCAGCTCCCAGCCCCCGGGGAAGGGGCAGAGGGGACCATGCCCGCCCCCCTCCCACCAGGCACCCCCCGTTACCTGGTGCATGATGCCATCGATTTCCACGGGAATGATGAAGTCAGCGTTGTTCACCGGCTGGAGAGAGCATGGAGGAGGGATGGGGGGGGTCAACGCCTGGCAGACACCCCCCTGCCCAAATGCTGCCTTGCCCTCTGCCCACTGCACCCCCCCTGCCAGCCCTGACACCCCATCGCACCCTGCAGGGTCATGGGTGCCTGAGAGTGGGCATTATTTGGATGGAGGGGGGGGACAGAGAAGGTTGAGGAGGGGGGGGTGTGGGGCAGGAGTGTCCCCCACCTTGAAGGAGCTGTGCACCAGCGTCTCGTCCAGGTCGATGACCACGCAGAGCTTGCTGGCGTCCTGCGGCTTGATCTCGGGCAGGAGGGGTTTGACAGCGGCCTGCGGGGGTTTTTTGGGGGGG